CCGCCGCTTTAAGGCAGGCGAAGGCAGCCTTCGCCTGCTTCCGAAATCTGCATTTATAATTAATTTGTTAACCAGTTAGTCTGTATATCAAGATAACAAGTTTTCTCCTTCGGAAGACCTTAGGTATCTGTCTGTTGGATACACGAGAAATTTACAACTATTAGCTATTTAGCCACCATACGCACAACCGTTTCTAAAGCCTTCTTTAATCACTCTAATAGTACTCGAGAGAGAAAAAAGCGTAATTCAGTGGAACTATCAAATAAAAGCCGTTCTTCCGGTTAGCTCAATTTGTCCACGTAGTAACTTCTAGTTACGAAGGTCGCCGGAGTTTATAGAACATGAAGACACAGTAGGAAAGAAAAAATATGTAGGAGTTAATCCCAGCTTTTTCTACTTTCTACCCGTTGCAAAGTTTTTTCTTATTTTTCATTCTCGTCCTGTATTTTTCATGTAACACCAGTGTTTTGTAATTTCCATTCTACGTGAATGTAACCGTTGAGAACGAGCAAACCGAGAAGATGTAGCTGATAAACACATCTATCTGGAACATCGTTTCCTCCCCCCTTTTTTTTTTGTTCACTCGTAAGAAAGACGTGCGTGCAAAGTATACAAGTAGCAGGTGAAATCATTTTCTACTATTGAGCAAAAAGAGAGAAACAGAATCGTCACGTTGACACGCGTGTTTTGTACTTCGATCAACAATTTATCTCGTGGTTAGCAGCTTCACTTTGGAAACAAACATTAAGTGAAAGAAAGCGAGGGTAAACGCATCAGTGACAGCAGAGGAAAAGCGAACCGCGGTTCTTCGGGTGATACCAGCGTGATCCCAGGACCCGGGGAGCAATTTTCAAAGTTAGAAAATAAGGAAAGAGCTTGTGCAGAATGATACGGAGAACCTTCACTTTCTTTCGTACATTTCGGGCAAAGTAGTAAGAGACCGTCAAACAAATTTTAAATCTCCAGTGCTGCTGCATATTGAATACAGAGAAAGAGAGAGAGAGAGAGGGAAGGAGAGAGTGAGAGAGAGAGAGAGCGCGAGCAAGAGCGACACATTGTGCGCTTGCATTTTTGTACATATAGAATATTTCGTATTGAATCGTTTTCTATGGTCCTGTCGTTGATGATTCGAGAAGCATTTATTTTTATATAGAGATTATTATATATATAGCGAAACAAAAAAGAGATCTGAAAGTTTTAAGGGAAAGCCGTTTTTTAGTCCGAGAGGCGCCCCCATTTCAGGGGGGTGCTCCGACACACCTCACACTTTCTCGATTCTTTCTGTCGACAAAAAAAAAAAAAAAAAAAAA